GGGTCCCTCCCGCCCCCGCCAGTCACTCACTTGCTGGATGCAGGCGGCCGTGCTGAGACCGGGAGGGCGTGGATTGGAGAAGCAGGTCTCAGGAGAATCGCGGTGCGGTCACGCGGCCAGTCGGCAGCAGGCCTGCCTGGAGAGCTGCGTGATCACGTCCACTTAGCGAGCGGAAGCGCATCTTCGGCCAGCGAGGGAGGGGCCTGGGTGCAGCCAAGTGTCCCCGAGCCGACCCGCTCCGGGCCAGCCATGAGCGCATCACCCCTGACACTGGCCCGGCATCCACGTCCACACCAGGACTCACGTTCACGGTTAGCACCATCACCACTCTGCCTTCCTCACTGACCCGGTGTACTGGACACCGTCGCCCCCAGGCAGGGGCCTGAGAGGAGCTACAAGGACACTTCTGGGACCCATCTCCCAGACTGGTAAGCGGGCGTGCGGAGATGTCGAGAAGCTTCTCTAAGAACACCCACCTTCCACCGGAAGGGCCACACTCGCCCAAATACAGCCCTATTCTGGCTCTGTGGCTCACCAGTTCCAGACCAGCACTAAAATACGATTCAGAGGGCCAGCGAGGCAGCCAGGGTGCCAACTCTTGCGCCATTACACAGCGTGTGGTCTGGGCCGCTGTCCACAGAGTGGGCAGAGGGCCACGCATGGTGCTCTCGAGGACGCCTCGCTCTCCTGTGGATTTCCGGCTTCCTTCCTTCCTTTCCCCCTCCTTCCTCTCCTTCCTTCGCTCCTTCCCTCCTTTCCTAATAGAAAGTATATGCACACGCGTGCATGCACACGTTCACACACACACACACACACACAGGGAGAGAGAACCCTCCACCGGGTGCCATTACGCCACGGTCCCCTGTCACCAGCACTCTGGTTCCGTGGGATCCCGGGTGCCACGCACACACCAGGCATGTTTCTCAGACTGCCCTGGGTGGGACCTGAAGTAGGTTGCTACCTGACTCCCAGCTGTGCGGCACCGACATTACTGCTGCGCCATGGTGCCTGGGCTGTATGGGGGCTTTCTGGCGCTGTTCGAGATGGTATTAGGGTCTCAGGCAGCGCTGCAACTTGGCATAGAAGTAAACACATTTTTTAAGGCGTACCATAATCCTAAGCACGAGATTAGTTCCATCTTGGAACTAACGAGATGTGTGGCAGCCTGCCGGCACACCTGCACTGAGAGTCCCAGAGAAACGAATTCATTGTCCCCGGAGCTGTGGACCTTGGACAGGTCTCTTCAGCCCCACTCCAGCGAGTGGGTTAGATAACCTTCAGGAGCCCTTCTCCGTTCCTCGCTACGCGGTGACCCCGACTCCTACACAGCAGGGGGAGGGAAGTCTGGCCGACCTGACTCCCTGCACACACAGCCATCCCTGGGCCCCAGGTTCATCTGTAAGGTTGCCGCTCCCACAGCGCCATGAGGGCTGGGCGAGACCCTGCTGGAGAAGAGCTCAGATGGCCGACACTCGGGATACGTGGGGCACGGCTCCCCGGCAGGCCCCCGGGCCCCTCTCAGGGAGCCGTGTTGGAAGAACTCTCTGGCCTCCAGTCCTCGCGATGGCGGGGCTGGCACGGGTGCTGAGAGCAGTAGGCAGAGCCTCCTCTGGCAGCCCTGCCCCTCTCCTTTGAGGATGAGGGCCTTGGGAGCACCTGGCACGGCTCGAGGGAGGGCCTGGCCTGGAAGGAAGGGGGACATGGCACAAGATCAGTGGCTCTGGCACCCCTGCCAGCCCTGGTCTGAGGCAGACCTAGGGCCAGGGCAGCCCACGGGCTGAGAGGGCTATGGAAGCCGATGGGCAAGGCCAGCCCTCCCGCTGCCTGGTGCCGTGACACCAGGTGTCGTATGCCCTCTGACATGAGGTTGTGGCATGTGCCTGCCTCCTGGCAACACAATACCTGTTGGGCCCTTCTGGGATGCCCGGCAGAAGAGGGGGTCCAGCAGTTATCGGCTTCCCTGGGCTATTCCTGCTTGGCCCGAGGAGGCCAGCTGCTGCAGGAGGAGGCTGGCCTTCACAGCTGGACTCTGGTCCAGGGGGCAGCAGGCCAGGAGCATCTGGTGAGTGCCTTGGAGCACTGTGACCTCAGCACCTACTGGGAGTGCGAGGCCCGAGGCCTGGGCTCCTGGGCTGTAAGTCTTCCAGGCAGGCAGGCTGGGGGTCAACATCAGAGGCCCAGGTTTGCAGAGGCTTCCTCACCTCACCACCGAGGGGGCCTGAGGAGACAGAACCTTCCCCACGGCCTTCCTGGGAGCTCACCTGTAGTCAGCTCACCGAGCTGCACGTCTTCCAACTCGGACCCGTGTGCAGCCAGCCAGGCACACGCATAGGGTCAAGCTTACCTGCCTCCAGACCTTCCTCAGGCTGTGCTCACTCACCCTCTGCCAGCCTTTCCCTCCAGTTTCCATGCATCCTGCAAAGTCCAGCCCAATAACTCCCCAGCCTGGACTGCTCCGATCCCTTGCCCACCCTAGCACTGAGTGTGTGCTCATTTCCGTTCGCGTCCTTTAAGAATACACGGTGGCGCAATGTCCGTGAGTGAACCTGCCATCTCGACCGCTCTGCAGGGGGAGCTGGGCGGGCCAAGTACGTCGGCACTGATGTGCAGCATCACCGGCCATCTCGTCCCACGTCACTTCACGCTGAAGCCCTGTGCCCAGTAAACACCCCCAGAGGAGCCTGGCCACAGCTAGCGGGTCTTCCCTACGCCCCTCCCCCAGGCCCGGGCGGCCACGCGCTACTCTGGTCTCCAAAAGCCATGCAGCGCTTACGTTCCTGGCTTGACCCCACACACAGCCCTGCGGCCCTAGGGGATGAGTAGGAAGAGGGAGCGAAGGGACAAAAGGACAAGAATGCACTGCCCACAGCTTCCTGAGCAGGCCTTGTGCCCTGCCACCGCTCACGTCGCTCCACACCTCAGATTCCTTCCCCCACCTGCATTTACTGAGCACTGGCCCATGCTCCAGAGGAGACCTTGCCCCGTCTGAGCAGGACTGACACCATCGCTGTCCTCGTGGGGCTCAGGTGAGGAGAGACAGACAGCAGACAGGAAAGGACAGGGCCAGGTGGGGGCACCGCAGCAAACACGACCCTCTGGGAGGCAATCCATAGGCTTCTGGCTCAGGTCTGGAGACCTCCCTGGCACAGGGCTGCCCATGACCCAGGGCTGGCCAAAGCCAGGGTGGTCACAGCGTCAAGACCCCGCTGGTGTGCTGCTTCTCTCTCTCTCTCTCTCTCTCTCTCTCTCGTGTGTCCCTTTCTATTTCTGTCACTCAGAGAGGAAATAAACTTTGACAAAAAGAACAAATACAAGTATGTACTAGGTAGTAGTGAGCACGGGGAGTAAAGCCGGGTGCTGGGCAAGCTGTGTAGGGCGTGCAGGCCACGCTGGTTTCTAGGGTGTCCAGGAAAGGCCTTCGAGTCAATGACGAGCAGAGACCTGGCGGCTGGAGGGAACAGCGGGAACACGCATGGGCTGCTGGAGGCGTGCAGAGGGGCCGGTGTGGCGGGGAGGTGGCCGGGGCAAGCTGGGCCCAGATGAGCAGGACCTTGTAGGTCCTTCTAAGGACGTGGCCTCTCGAGGGTTTGGAGCAGAGGTGCCGTGGCTGCTGCGTGAAGAGTAACTGTGGGGAGAGGCTGGGAGTGGGGGGGATGACCGAGGGGGCTATTACAGAATCTCCTCACAGTGGGATTTCATAAGGATGAAAATGAGGCAGCAGCCAAAAAAGAGTTTCTGAGCGGCTCACTTGTTAGCGAAGCAAGGAACGTGATGCCGGCCAGGACTGGAGTGAGCACGAGGAGTGTCGGTGAGCAGAGCCAGCAAGATTTGCTGATGGATTCGATGTGGGATTTGACAGAAAAGAGGACTCAAGGGTGATCTCAAGATTTCAGGTCTGAAAGTGAAGGCATGGCGTCGCCACGGGCGTGACGGGGGAGCCGAGGGAGGGCGGGTGCGGGAGGGAAGGGGGCGTGCGATGCCGCTCCCGTGCCCGAGCTGAGACGCGGAAGTCAGGGCCCCAGGTGGGGCGCCTGCTCTGCTTCCTGTGTCCTGGCTGGCGCCTGGCTTCAGCAGGGCATCCCTGGGTCCCAGCGACAGCTCGGACCCACCCTGTCCTTGGCATGGGGAAGAGCCCGGGCGTCACGGCCTGCCTTTGTCTGTGTGCCCGTCTGCCCAACGTGCCTGAGCAGCTGACCTGTGCCAGTGCCGGGCCCTGACAGGAAGGAGCTAGACCTGGCCTCTCCCTTCAACAGGCTCACTGTCGGGTTATGAGCTCTCTTCCCCTCCCAGCCCCTGCCTCCCAGCCTCCCAGCCCCCCTCAGCCTTAGGCTTTCCATCGGTAAGATGGGCCTGGGCCAGGGACCAGCAGTTAGCATAATGGCTATGTCACTGGACTCCCATGTAGTCGACCGCGGTTCGAGTCCTGGACCTGCTGGCTTATACTCACAACAGGTGCATGTGTGTGTGTGCCCAAATCCCAAGAAGAGAATGGAGGAGAAGGGATTGTGGTGTGGCCATCCCCCCCTGCGGGGTGATTTCTCACTTTCTGTCTCTCTGGCGAGCGCACGTACCCTATAGCAAAAACCTCTCCAAAAAAAAAAGACGGGTCTGGGACAGGCAGTTTTAAGTCCCCCACCAGTTGGCCCTCCTATAACCCCATAAGGCCAATGCACCCACCCTCACCTTCTGAGCTAGGTCCCCATAGCCCGGTGAGGCCATCTGGCCAGCACATGTGCCCACATCACCATGTTCCCCCGAGAAGTGACTGGGTGGGGTGACGTGCTCACGTCCGTGTAGTGAGTGTGGCCAGCAGTGCATGCTCTTTACGCGTGACAAGGCCAGGGTGTGCATCTCCGGGTGATGAGGGGTGTGGGAGTGAAGAGGTCACGCCAATACCTGTGTCCCTGGCACTCAGGTCACTAGCAGAGAAAGTGGCCGTGAGAGTGACAGGAACAAAGGGTGAGCGAGACGGGGATAAGGGAAGCAGGCCGTCAGGGCTGGGAGCACGCCTCAGTTGGCATTCACAGTAACAGAGGACACCATCCCAGTGCTGGGGACAACAGTGACCAGGCTCAGAGACACTGCCCTTAGGAAGCCCACCATCCAGAGAGAGGCGATGAGGAAATGGGCAGTCCTCGTATCCAGTGGTGGGAGCCATGCCAGGGGCTGCGTGGGGAGAAGGGTGGGACAGGAGAGGGCTTGGCATGTGGGAGGCTCGAGACGGGCCCGCAGGGCTGCACAGGTGAGCAGGGGGCTTAGGGTGAAGCCGGCCTCTTGGTCTCAGGACTCTCTCTGTGGAGGGCACGTTCCCTATAGCAAAAACCTCTCCAAAAAAAAAAGACGGGTCTGGGACAGGCAGTTTTAAGTCCCCCACCAGTTGGCCCTCCTATAACCCCATAAGGCCAATGCACCCACCCTCACCTTCTGAGCTAGGTCCCCATAGCCCGGTGAGGCCATCTGGCCAGCACATGTGCCCACATCACCATGTTCCCCCGAGAAGTGACTGGGTGGGGTGACGTGCTCACGTCCGTGTAGTGAGTGTGGCCAGCAGTGCATGCTCTTTACGCGTGACAAGGCCAGGGTGTGCATCTCCGGGTGATGAGGGGTGTGGGAGTGAAGAGGTCACGCCAATACCTGTGTCCCTGGCACTCAGGTCACTAGCAGAGAAAGTGGCCGTGAGAGTGACAGGAACAAAGGGTGAGCGAGACGGGGATAAGGGAAGCAGGCCGTCAGGGCTGGGAGCACGCCTCAGTTGGCATTCACAGTAACAGAGGACACCATCCCAGTGCTGGGGACAACAGTGACCAGGCTCAGAGACACTGCCCTTAGGAAGCCCACCATCCAGAGAGAGGCGATGAGGAAATGGGCAGTCCTCGTATCCAGTGGTGGGAGCCATGCCAGGGGCTGCGTGGGGAGAAGGGTGGGACAGGAGAGGGCTTGGCATGTGGGAGGCTCGAGACGGGCCCGCAGGGCTGCACAGGTGAGCAGGGGGCTTAGGGTGAAGCCGGCCTCTTGGTCTCAGGAGCAGAGACAGTGGAAGCCTCCATAGGCAATTGGCTTGGGGAGATGGGGTGCAGGTGGGTTGGGGAAATCTGGAAGTTTAGCTCTGAATAACTTCTCACCAGTGGAAGATGTTGGGACCCTTCCATTGGAGTTTCGTCCTTCAACTCGAGATCCTGCTCTCGGTGGCTCCGGGTCACGAGGAGAGAACGCTAGACCACGTGCCCAGAGGGTGAGTCCAGGGAGGCGCAGAAAACCGCCAGTCGTGGTTCACTCGCACACGCGCCTGTGGCAGGGAGGCTCCGCCCCGCTTTAGAGCGGAGGCTGTAGTTGACCCAGACGACACAGGTAGGAAGGGGGAGTAAGGATTCGAACCCAGTGGGCCTCGGGAGGCTGATATACGGGGTGTTAGGGTCCCCTGTGCTTTCCCGTGTGGGGCCTTGGGCTGTCCGCCCAGGAGCTGCCATCTCTCCTCGGGGCCATTTACAAGCAGAGCACGTGCTGAAGTGATGGGCTTGGGGCAGCTGGAGGCCCTGGAGACCCCAAGCCAGAAAATGGGAGGCCCGAGGGGCCCGAGAGCTGTCTTCTCAGGCCTTTCAACTGTCAGAGGGATCTGCTTAGGACACAGATCCGTCCACGGTGTGGCCTGCTCCAACCCCCCATGGCGCCCGAGACAAAGCCCTGGCAGCTGAGTCCACCAGGCAGGGCCCTCCGAGACCTGCCCTCTGCCAGCCTCCCTGGCCTCATCACTCACTGCTTCCTCCTCCGACTCACTCGCTGGTTCTCAAGCTCCCAGTGGCTTCTTCACCTCCCACGGCTCTGTGTGCTGTTCCTTGGGAGACAAGGAGCAGCTCCCTGCTCCCCGAGCCTGTGCGGGTGCTGACCCCGTGCCCGAGCGCCTGTCCCTCCTCTTTTCCTGACATCTCCTGCTTACCTCAAGACACTGAGCCAGGACTCTGATGTCGCCTCTTCCAGGAAGTCTTCCTGTGTGCTCCTGTCGACCTGGCCTTTCCCTGACCCTGGATCAGGCTCTGCTGCAATCGGTTCAGTGTCCCCTCACCCTCAGCCTCTGTGTGCCCCCGCACCTCTGCGGGTGCCTGCCCCGCGCCCTCACGCGGAGGCCAGAGCCTCCCCGCTGTGCGCTGTCACCCCCTCAGACAGGGGGAGAAGTGGGGTCTTCGGGAAGTAACTTGACCGTCGTGGTCCGGCTGGCAGGAGGTGACTTTGCCACCGAAGCCCTGGCGGCTGCGCTGAAGAGCCCTCGGAGCCGGGGTGGGCGAAGGGGAGGCGGCGCCCCTGCAGGCAGCGCCCCGTGCAGGCCTCCAGAGCACCAGGAGGCTGGATTCTGGCAGTGCCCGGGATGGCGCGGCTAGGCCGCCTTTCCTGGCCAGGCCGCCGAGAACCGCGTCTGTTACCCCCTTTGCTTCTGTTCGCAGCTCAGCGTGGTCTCCGCCTCTGCAGGTGTCTCCGCTCGTCTGTCTCCTCACCTGCCCCAGAGCCCTGCGGGGCCCGGACGGCCAGTCGTGTTCTCTCTCGGGGCCCCAGCGTCTGGGCCTCGCAGGTGCCCAGTAAACGTACGAGCCCCCGTGACCGTGACCGAGCACGCTGTCGGCGTGGCGCTCCAGCCACGTGGGAGTGGGCGCGATGCGCATTTCCTAGCCGAGGAAGGACACCCCAGGGAGGTCCAGTAAGGGCTCAGGGCCACCCCCCGCGCAGCAGGCTCGTCTGCTCCGGAAGCTGCGACCCTCCGAGGCGCGGCCACAGGTGGCGCTGCACCCGGGAGGTTGCAGGGCTTGTCCCAGGGAGGAACGCGGCCTTCTGGTCCCCTGAGATGGGCGCGGGGCAGGTCGCATTCCAGCGCTTCCATTCTGCCCGCTCCTGAGCCCCCTTGGCGTAACTGCCCACGCCAGCGCGGCCCTCCCCCTTTCAGCTTTTCACGTGAGCACGGTCCTCCCGTGGCCTTGGCGTCAGGAAGTCTCTGTCCCATTCCTGGTGGGGCCGCGAGTCTGAGGTCAGGATCCTCCAGTGGTCCCGCAGGAGCCCTTTCAGGCTCCTAATCCACCTGGCAGTTGTTGGAACTGCCAGAAATGACCTCCTCGTCCCATCCTGATGAGCGGTGTGCCTGGCAGTGCGGGGCAGCGCGCCGGCCTCCCAGCTCTGCCGGAGGAGCTGAGTTCTAGTCTTTCCAGCACTCCTGGCTCCAAGACCGGGGGTGCGTCCCTTCCTTCCCGGCCTCCATCCCTCCCACACGTGGAGGTTCGGAGTGTGGGTCTGAGGGGTCTTCCAGCTCCGCTATTTGTGAATGGCCCGTCCCAGGCACGCGGGATGCGTCACGTGTGTCATGGTAAGTGTTCTAATAGCCTCCTTGAAAGGGTGAAAGAAATGTGCCCATTAATTTAAATACTTTTTATTTAACTTAATGCAGCCTCATTCTCATTTCAATATATACTCAGTGCTAATTAGAAAGTGTGTGTTTTTCCATGTGCAGTCAGCTCGGGTCAGACCGCCTGTGTCCCCAACGCCCGTAGCCGTGTGTGGTGGCCCTGGATAGTGATGCCCTAGGGTCCCCTCTGTCCTGCCCTCGATCCGTCCTCTCAGCCAGGGGTGCTGGTGGCTCTTCCCCGGGGCTGTGGCTGCCTGGTGGCATGCCTGTCTGGACGGCAGTTACAGCCCTGTGGGGGTCGAGGTGCTGCTTGGCCCTGAAGGTGCGCGCAGCCCTGACAGGCTTCCCACGCTACCCAGAGGAGGAGGAGAAGGCGGGGGAGAAGGGTCCTTCCTCATCCGGCTTCCCAGGAAGGCCAACATCATGGGGGAATCTCAGATCCCGGGTTCCATTTGGGAGGAAAATGTCCCCGCAGCTCAGCTTTGGCTGAGCCAGGGCTGGACACACACCTGTGTCCCCCAGGAGCCCTGTCTGTGCTGCTCTGGTCCCGAATGTCACAGCAGGCTGAGACAGCGGCCCTCTCTCTTGCTCCCAGATCCCTCTCAGTCCCTCTCCCTGGCCACTTCCTTCCCAGATATCATGTGTGTGCGTGTTTGTGCATGTATGTGTGTGAGTGCGTGTGTATGCACGTGTGTGTGTGTGTTCCTCTGCAAACCACCCCAATGCCTGGGGATCAGAGGAGTGCTGAGGGGACAGTGGGCTGGGAGACACAGGAGTCAGCCCTCTCTGGAACAGCCCTTGGCCAAGGGGGACTGGGAGACAGAACTGGCTGCTCCCGCCCGCCCCACCTGCTCCCAGGCCACGGGCTCTCCAGGAGAATTAGGACAATTAGGACGGGCGGGTCCGTGGCGAGGGGGCCCTCTTGGTCCTCTCCTACCCCCAGCTCATCTCCGCCCCCTCCCTCCCCGTGCTTCCCTGCTCCCCGTGCTCCCCTGGCAGAGGCTCCCCCGCTGTCCCTCGCAGTCTGATTCCCCCTCTGCTCTCTCCCTCAGTCTTCGGGACGCCAGTCTCTGTCTTTCCGTCTGTTCGTCCCTCTGTCCTTGTCTCCCTTTCTCCTCTTTCCTTCTCACTTCCCCCTTTATCCTCTGTCCTTCTCTGTCACTGGGTCTCTCCTAGAGGCCCCCTAATCTCACCTCGCTCTCTTCCCCAGTCACCCCCCCCCGCCTCTGCCCTGTCCCCTCCGTCTCCTCCCTCCCGCACTCCTCTCTGTCACTTGCTTGTGCCTCTCCTCCCTGAGCGGCAGTGGAGCCGGCTCCTCTGCC